ATAAATCACTGTGCTTAAGACATAGGTAAGATAAAAATGCCTCTAGCCTGTAAGTCCCACTCATCGAAGGACAGGTAGAATGCTGGGGGTTCATGTAAGATACCAAGTGTAGTGTTTTCACTTATGTAAACAAACATGGGTGCACCAATTGCACAACATGTGTGCTTGATTACATGTAGGCAGGAGTTACATAGACAGGAGTACATCAGGATGTGTGCTTGTCCCTGATTGGTCGGAGGTGTGAAGTACATAGACTTGTGGGGTTTGCCTTTATAAACCTCTGACTAATGTAATTCGGGGCCATACTCTGGGAATACCAGGTATGGACGTGGCCAGTATCCATGGTCCTTGCTTTAAATTTGACTTAAAATTGTGGTAGTGGTCTTATTCTCACTCAGTGAGATGAGCACATGATGCTGGAGCAATAGCTGAGAGCTTACATCTTGATCCACAAGCATGAGGCAGAGAGAGTTAACTGAGAATGGCATTGAAAGATTTTAGTTTGCTGAGAGAAAAAGTTTTGAAAGTTTTGAAAGTTCACAGAGAGAAAAAGTTTCCCACAGGCCTTGGCCCAGGACAAGGAAGTTGGCCCCAACCCGAGGGCAGACAGACAATCCGTTTTGGGTCACACCTGGCTGGCCAACAGACAATCAAGGACTTTTCAGGGTACGTTCTATGGGTTTTCCTTTATACACAAGCATTGCACACCTGGGTGACCACTCTAACATGAGATCATACTTTGTAATCAATCACTTTGCGCCCCTTGCCTGTATGCTGATCTGTGGTTTTTTTCCTATATAAGAAGCCTGTAACCCTTGCTGGGTTATGCAGCTTTCCCGATATTGCTGACACCCGAATGTGCATTCGTTCAATAAACCCTCTTGATTTTGCAGCTCTTGGTCTGGTTTCTGAGTCTCGGTGGCTCCTCGGGATCCTGAGGCCCTTAGGAGTCTGGGGGTCTTTCAGCATGTGCTTTTTTTTTTGTGACAGGTTTCTCTGTGTAGCTCTGGCCATCCTGGAACTTGCTCTGGACCAAGCTGGCCTTGAACTCAGAGATCCACTTGCCTCAGCCTTCCTAGTGCTGGGATTAAAGGCACCCAGGGCCACATTTCCTAGTCTGTCCCAAACAGTTCCACCAACTACAGAACAAACATTCAAATATATGAGTCTATGGGGGCCACCCTCATTCAAACCATCACAGGGCCTATTCCTGAGCATGCTCAGTTAAGGATTAGATACTGGAAAGCATTTTATTTTAAGGACATAATTTTAAAAGAAAAGTTAGTAGTCATACTTTTGGGTGCATTTATCACACATGTCATATTAGTGCTGGGCAGGAAGACTCCTAGGCTGTTCAACTAGAATCACACAAAGTTTTGGCTGAAAATAGATATATTATTGTTACAGAAGTCTACCATGAGGGTGCCTGCCTTGCTTAACACAGTGACACCTAGTTACTTAAGGGACTTATGCCTGAGTTTATTCAGGCCTTAGCTGATACCATTTGTACCATAAGTCCCAGTTATTGCCAGTTGGCATACTGGCAGGCTGCTGGTCAACCCAGGTCTCACTTGCCCTTGGCCAGGAGTGAGGGTTAGGATGTATGTACCTGGGTCCCTAAAAGGCAGCAGGGCTGCCACTACCCCTTCCCCAGGAACGTGAGTGTTCCTGGAGGCCCAGCTCACAGCCCATCACCGAAGGAAAAGTGAGGTGCAGACAGGGTTCCCATCTAGACTTTGGGTTTGGAGCTGAAGCCTGGGATGGGGGATTGCTGGCCCCCTGGGCTTGGAGGGGTTTTTCTTTGTCTCCTCCCTCTTTACTGAGATTTTGGCTGAGCTCATTCTCTGGGAAGAAGGTTCCTTGGCTTCACTGTCACACTGGATCCATCTGGATCTGTAGGCAGTCATTGGAACAGAAACTGTAACACCTAATGATGTGGTATCCAGCTCCAGCTCCTCCTCTCCTTTCCCACCAATCCCTGGGGAATCCAGGGTGTTGCTTTATCTCCTAGGTAATGAGCAATTTGCAAGAATGATCCATTCTTGACCTGCCCCACATTGACCCTGTAAAATATCATTCAACCATTCAAATGTTTGGTGGGAACCTTTGAAAATGTCAGCCATACGGTGGTGGTGCACACCTTTAACCCGGAGGCAGAGGCCAGCCTGGTCTACAGAGCAAGGTTCAAAACAGCAACTTCCAGGACAGCCAGGGCTATACAGTTTCAGAGGTTCAGTCCGTTACCGTCATTACAGGGAGCATGGTGGCATGCAGGCAGACATGGTGCTGGAAGAATGGCTGAAAGTCCTACATCTTGCAGACAACAGAAAGTTGACTGGGACTCTGGGTGGTATCCTGTGCATAGAAAACTTCAAAGCCCACCCCCCACAGTGACACACTTCCTCCAACAAGGCCATACCCACTCTAACAAAGCCACACCTCCCAAAAGTGCCACTGCTTTGAGATTATGGTGGCCAATTACATTCAAACTATCACACCAAGATAATATCAGGTAAAATAGGCATCAAGGCAAATTACATGAAATCGGGGTAAGGATGGTTTTGACCAGCCTTCCAAAGCATCACTTTACTTTTTTTTTTCCTTATCTGTTTCATCCACTTCCCTAAGCCCATCCCCACTGCTCAGACGCCTGCTGTTATGACTCCTCTCCAACTCCTGCAGAGTCTGAATCAACCTTTCCCTAGAAGCTTCTTCAGATTTGCCTCTTCTGGTTCTTCCTCCTCCTCTGACTCTTCTTATTTCCTGGATTTCCTCCCATTTGGGGGCAGGGTTTCATCTTGTGTGATTTCTTTTCTCCCTTTATTCTTTGCTTTTTCCTGCCTCTTTGTCTTTGAATGGAATTATTTCAAAAACTGATCTGATCATATTTTTTTCCATTTTTTAATTTGAATTAGAAACAAGATTGTTTTACATTTCAATCCCAGTTCCCACTCCCTCCCCTCCTTCCCTCCCACCCCCCCCATCATTTTTTTAATCCTTTAAAACAAAACAAAACAAAAAACCTGGAGCATTACAAAGAACAGACCTGCAGAATTCACGTGCAGTGTATCCTTCCATTGGCCTCTTAACCCGGCTGCCTCTTAACCCTGGCTGCAGGAAAGCCAGTACTTAGAAGAAACAAGGACCAGACTATCCACTACCACTTAATAGTATTATGTTTTTAGTCTTTGTTTTTTATTCCATGTGTTTTTCACATCATGTATCTGGATTCCATTTATTCCCTGTCCCTTCACATCCGCCCTTCCCCCATGCACCCTCCCCCCAAATAAAACAAAATTGAAGAGAAAAAAATAAGAAGGTAAAATGAGAAAAATCAAAAAAAGGAAGAAATTAAAAATCTCATCATGGAAGCTGCAGTCTGACTCAAAAAATCATGTTGTATACCCCTTTGTCCATACATCTCTACTTGTAGTGTTCCTTGCAGAGTCATTGGTCTGGTTCAAGGCCCCTGGTCTCCACCACATGTTCAATGCTGGACTCCTGCTAGGACTCTTCCTGGGCAACCCTCTGGCATCCTGTCTTGTAGAGATTCTGTAGCTTTGGGTCTGTGGGCCAGGTCCCTTCAGGTGCTCCATCAGATCATAGATGGGGTGGATGTTGGGGCAGGCCAAGTCATAACCCTGGGTCTGGGCCTGGCCAGGTAGGAAATGGAGACAGCTCTCTCATGGTCACAATTCTGGGGCTGGCTCACCCACACCTGTGCTAATAGGGTTGGCTGTATTGTGCTGCCCCAGGTGCAGGGTCTGCTCTCCCGAGTGTTGCAGCTGGTAGGGGTCGGGACAGCTCTCTCACTCTTATGACCACAGGGCCAGCTCTCCCACCTGCCCAAGATGTCGATGGATGGGGTAGGGGAAGGGCATCTCTCCTCAGCCCATGCCTCCATGTGGGAGATGAGGGGTGGGGCTAGGTCTCCCACAGTCACATTCTCAGGGTTGGCTCACCTATGCTCTCATCAACAGAGTCCTCTCTGTTGTGCTGCCCAGACAAAGTGCAGGGCAAACTTTCCCATGTGTTGCTGCTGGTCAAGGGTTCATCAGCTCTCTCCCTTCCTCTGTCATCTTTTCAGATATGCCTCTGTCCACAGGACCTGATCATTCTGTATAGTGATATGTTATTTATGATTTATCAAAACTTGACTGAGGATTCAGAAAAGCAAAGTCAGCCACAAGTTATAAAAGCCAGGCACACACCTTTAATCCCAGCAGCCAGAAGCTAGGAGGTGGTGGTACACAATTTTAATACTAGGACTCATGACTAAGAGATAAACGGATCTCTGTGAGTCCAAGGCCACCCAGAGCTACACAAGAGTGAATCAGTCTAAAAGGGAATGATAGCTCACACCTTTAATCCCAACATTAGGGAAGTATATAAGACAGATGCAACGTCTCAGAGAGGCATTCATTCTCCAGCCACGCTGAGGAAAGGCAGCAGTTTGAGATTTGGTGAAGAGTTCATTCGTGGATCAGCCCTTTCAGCCTGTCTCTCCCATAAGACACCATGCTGTCCATCTGCTCACACTAATAGTGTCCATCTGGCTGGTGCTGCAAGGTACTGGGTGGCCAGTGTTTTCTCTTTGGAGCCTGGTGTGTTTATCTTTATCCTTGTAAATACGTTTAATTTCCATGAATGCATTTACCAATTTAAAATGGAAGTCTGTTTTAAAAATAAGATTCAGCGTACTGTATTGCATTGTTTTTATCTATAGTTTCCATGCTTGTGGTTTCAATGTTCTCACAGCTTGTATTGTGTGCACATGGTTTTGCCGCTCTTCTCTTCACCTTTGCTTTCAGCATCAGATCCACAGTTAGTTTCACTGTCCACTGGTAATCTTTTTGTCAGCATTTTCTGAAACTACAGGACAAGAGTTTTGTTGTATCTTTACCTTTGTTTATCTTTCTTTTTGTACTGAATGTAGTTTTTGCTTTCCTATCGCCAGCGAATGAACCTAGGACCTCATGCATCCCATTCAAGCTACTGAGCTACACTGATGGTGTGGAATGATCAGGAAACCTCAGAATATACAGATGTTTCATTGCTCTGGAAGCTAAGCAGACCAAGAGGTTGCTGGAAATGTCCAGCTCAACTGCATGGGGATTAATACCAAACACGATGCTTCTTTCCAGGCCTGAGAATCGACGGATGCTGTCAAACATTGCAGTAGAATAGACGAACGCATCATCCATCTGAGACACTCTCCTCTTCCTCATTTCGCTCAGGAACTTATCTTGATGTTTACTCTTTTCCTCTTCTGTGCTGAAAAGCACAGCGATATCATGGGAAGAGTAGCCATTCCTCAGGAAACAATTGCATTTATTTGCTACATAGCTCACCATTTCTTTCAAGCTGAAGTGTCTGAGATTAAAGCTGCCTGATACGCCATTAGCCCACGTAAATTCATTGAGTATCTCCAGAGACTCAGCAGAGATCCTGGGTGGAGGGTTATTTCTGATTTCCTGTAACTCCTTTTGTAAGAACATGGCTATTCTATCTGCATTGCGTACCACTCTTGTGAGCTCGTCCTTTGGATATTGGTGTGAGAAACATGGGAGGCCACTCTCATGTGTGTGGCTGGTCTGAAAATAGTCCAGAAAGATCCAGAAAATTCCGAGATTCTTGTTATCTCTCTGAGTGATGTCTCTTGCCTTCTTATACCAGTCCCCATTTTCTGTGCGGAAATTCTGGGCTTCATCAACAATGATGTGTTGGATCATGTTTGTCTCAAACTCACATTTCATGAAACATTTCCGGGTCACTGCCTGGCAAATATTTTTTGCCCTGTAACAGTGAAAAGGTTATTAGCTGTTTCTCATCACTTGCCTAGCAACACAGCACTGCTGTTACAGGTCATTGTACTGTCTAATTCCCAAGAATCAAGGTAAACTAAGAAAAATTCAAACAGGTTGATAACACACAGACATAAAGATCCAAACACTTACCTGATCAAGTCCCTCAAAGGTCGATTTTCACAGATGTAGAGAATTCTATTTGCTTCACAGTGGAATGTGTTTCTGATCTTTTCCATGATCTTCATGGCCATGATTGTCTTCCCTGACCCTGGCAAGCCATGCACAAACAGTTCCCTGTGTTTGCGGAGATTTTTTGAGAACATCTCATATTGTTGGGCTGTGAGAAGATTCAAAACTTCACAGCCAAGCTGGTCACTCAAGAAAGATCTGAAGTTGAGCAAGACAATCACAAGGGCCTGCAGCAAGGTTTCCACTTCCTGGGTGTTTGGAAGGTTATAGGAGAGTGGGTAATCTATAGAAGGGGCTGACCCCTCACTGGTGTCTACTTTGCTCTTGGGACTCAGGCAGAGAACCTTGGTCATGACACACACCTTCCCAGTGTAGCCACCGGTGTTCACTAGTTTCTGCTTGAGAGCAAAGGCGGTGCGGGTACAGTAGTCCTGTCCCCACACATTCTGCTGTTTAAGGATGGTGTAGAGGGTGGGGGAGCTCTTCTCTGCAATCAGAAGAGCATCACAGATGACTCCCTCCTTCTCCTCCAAGTCCAGGTCCACTGCCCAGCTCCTAGAGAGGATCAGCAAACCACAGTGGACAGAGTGCATTTGCTGGGTTATTAAGTCCTTTAGTTCCTTATTCTCTGTGCACAACTCCCCCCAGAGAGATTCAGGAGTGTATGTCAAACATCCTGGTGACACTGGACATGGAAAGAACAGACAAGATTTCAAATAAGTGTTTGCATTGCTCTGTATGACTCACATATTTTGTTTAAAACAGAGAATTAAATAGATAACCAACACAAAACAAACTCAATGGTATTTTTGGAGTTTTTTCCTCATATGCTTTGTCTGGGTACATTTCTTACCTTACAGGTCTTTTGCTTATTTATTATAGTTTCCAATTTTGTGTTCTTATGGTGTGTGTGTGTGTGTGTGTGTGTGTGTGTGTGTGTGTCTGCTCTGTATGTGTTTCTTGTTCTTTTTGTTTGGTTCTTTTTTAAGGTTTGTTTTGTCCCATTCTGGTTTGTTTGTTTTAGCTGCCTGTTTGTTTTATAAAGAGAGAGAGAGGGAAGGGGGCTGGCAAGATGGCTCAGTGGTTAAGAGCACTGGCTGCTCTTCCAGAGGTCCTGAGTTCAATTCCCAGAAACCACATAGTGGCTCGCAACCATCTACAGTGGGATCTGGTGCCCTCTTCTGGAATAAAAGAGTATATGCAGATAGAGCACTCAGATAACATAATAAAATCTTTAAAAAAAAGAGAGGGGGGGAAGTTTGCAGATTTGAGTCGGTGGGGAGATGTCGAGGAGCTAGAGGAAGGGAAACTGTGATCAGAATATATTGTATGCAAAACATTTGTTTTTAATAAAAATTAAAGTTATAAAACATTTTAAAATAAAAGGCAACTAAGCTCATATGTGTAGTACAACTTAAGAAAAATTCCATCTGTATACATCCCCTTTAATTCATATCTCACCAAAGTGATGGAATGATGTGTGGTGATATATTTCTTGAACAAATAGGGCCTGTCTGGGGTTCAGAGAATGGAGCTTGCCACTAGCTAATCATAGAGGTCTGGAGGTCTGTACAGACAGACAGGAAGTGATGTAGCTGGGCAGAAACAGGATATAAGCAGGGAGGAACAGGAAATCGCTCTCTTTTCTGCAGAGATGCTTAGAAAGTAAGGAGTGCTGTGGCTTACTCTTTCTCTCTTATCTTTCAGCATTTCCCTCTATTTCTGATTCCAGCTTTTTATTATCTAGACCAATTAAGAACTTTTACAATGATGTGGCTCCCCCATTATCTTACAGAAAAGTTTCTGTCAACCAAAATGGAATTTATTGAGCCTAATGAAGTGCAAACAAAATCTGTGCAGTTATTCTTACACCAGATTCCTGTGTGGAAGTTTAAAAATATTTCTGATAAGTTAAAAAGTGAAAAATAGTTCAGTTAAATTAACTTTGAAAATGGACCTTAGGCCATCCTAATACATTAATTATCTGGGCCTTCATACATGTTTATATAGCCACAGGATGTCTCTGTATCATATATGTTGAACAGATATCACATATATTCAGAGTGTGAAGTTAAAGAAGCTATTTCCATTCTCCAGAAACCCTGATCTTTTCTAAGTAGGAATTCCTAGACAACATGTAGCTAAAGGCTGACATTCTATCATCTGAAATTATTATTTTGTACCAAGCCCAGATCTTACAGATTCATTCTCACCACCTTCTTTGGTTCCTCTGTGCCCACCTATTCCACCATGTGAATGCCTGCTTGTGTTCTTCCCTCCATCCCTCAGAAACTGACTGCAAAGATCTACTATATCATGGTCCTGCCAGTATAAGTAAGGCTTTGGCTATGGCTGTACTGGTTCAGTGAGTTCCGAACCCTTGAGAAGCTGACTCAAATGAGCATGCTCAAGCCCTGGGACTGCTGTTGTAAATTCCTGATGGGGTCCTTGACCTCTGCATATTTAACTATCAGATTTTGCTAGTACCATGCTAGATGACTTCAAGGGCACCTGCACCTCATTCCCAAGAGGTTTGCAGCGCTGGTACAGCATAAACTTGGTGTTGTAGAACAAAGGTATTAAATAGTCTCTTTATCTTAATGGAAAAACTAGCTGTTCATACCTGGAAATAAACGCTTTTGGAGATCGACTTTATGCTCCAGTCCTTTCTTAGAATACACTGGTCTGCAGCGTGGGGGGCTGTTGGAGAGACTCAGCTGACTCTTAAAATCTTCACATAGGTTATGGAGAGCAGATGGCCGATTGGAAGCTGCCTCTGTGTGACACAGTGAAAGAAACCCATCAGAATAACAAAGCATTGGCTCTATTCCAAAGGGGAAACATTGGAAGAACACCAGAAATCACAAAGAAGAAATTGAAGCTTGATCCAGAAGGCAATATAAGCAGTCCCGATGAAGAGATGGAAGTCCCATCCACATGACAAAGTTAGGATGCTCAAAAGCTTCAAATCCAATTGAAGGCTCTGGGGAGGCAGTGGCTCCTCTGACATAGTGGGTAGCAGTGGAGAGGAGGTCCACTTTGTCACTTCACTGGGTGCCAGCTGGAGAGAGAACCCACTCTTTGGTACTGAACTACCCAGGGGTTCTGATAACAAGAAACAATCTCAAATCAGGGATCCTGGTGTCAGCCTGCCACAGTTCCAGGCTAGGAGACAGATGTGAAAGGTAAGCATGGGGCAAGGACAGACTGGGCACTGACATGCCAAAAAATTCAGGTAGGAGACTAGACTCAGAAACTGAGGCTTGGGCTGGAGAGATGGCTCAGAGGTCAAGAGTGCTAGCTGGGAGGAGAGGCAGGCAGATCTTTGTGAGTTCAAGGCCAGCCTGGTTTACAGAGAAAGTTCCAGGATAGCCAGGGCTATACAGAGAAATCCTGTCTTGAAACACCAAAAAACCAAAAGGAAAAAAAAACCTAAAAGAAATAATAATATCTTGTTTATTGTTAGACCCAAAATGAAATAAAACCAATAGCAAGAAAAACTGCAGAACTTTACAAATACATGGAAATTAAACATAGCCAGCATGTCATTGATGAAATCAGAGCTTAAAACATTCACATAACTAAATGAAAATGAAACCAACAGTTATAGGAACATTTGGAATATATCAAAGGCATATCTAACAGTGGGGTGTATAGCTATGAGCGATTACATGGGAAAGTCACAGTCACCTCAAGTAAGAAACATCATGGAATTTCAACTCAGAAACAATCCAACAAACAAGAACAATCCAAGCCCCAAATTAGCAGATGACAAGAAATAGTAATCACCAGGGTAGAACTAATGAAGTAGAAATGAAAATAATAATCAAAAGAATGAGTAAAACAGACCTTTTAAAATTAGGTAAGAGCCGGGCAGTGGTGGCACACGCTTTTAATCCCAGCACTTGGGAGGCAGAGGCAGGCAGATCTCTGTGAATTCGATGCAGCCTGGTCTACAAGAGCTAGTATCAGGACTTCTAGAGCTGTTATACAGAAAAACTGTCTCTGAAAAAGAACCCACAAAAATTGATAAACCCTTAGATAAATCAACTAAAGAAAGAAGAGATAACATTACAACATATATTGATAAAATCCAGAGGCTCATCAGGGAATACTTTGAAAACCTATATTCTAAAAAGGGGAGAAAATGAAGGTTTTGAATCAAAGGAGAAATCCCTGGACACATATCACCTACTCAAACTAAATCAAGATCACTGAAGTGGCAGCTACCAAAATGAAGCTAAATCCCTTTCATTTCAATGCACCTCCTCATATTTGCAGAAGATTGTGTTGTCTCTTTGCAAAGAGCTGAGACAGAAGTACAGCATCCCATCTGTGCCAAACCAAAAGGAAGATGAAGTGAATGCTAGCAAAGAAAAGTCATTGTTGACTTCTAATAGACCTTCACTGATGAAATGACAGCAGTGTTCTTCAAACTAGATTTTGAAATAGAAGGGGAGAAACACTATTAATTCACCCCATAAAGACATATTATCTTGGTAGCACAATCATAAAAAGACAAAACAAAAGAAATCAGTTGCTTGATTTCCATGATAAACTCATAAAGATCCTGCAAACCAAACTTAACTAAACACTGCAAAGATCACCTGCCATGATCAAGTTGGTTATATTCCAGAGAGGCAAGGGTGGCTTAATACAGGCAAATTAATAAAGGCAATGTGTCACATAACTAGAGTCAGGAACAAAAATCATAGATCATCTCATTAGATGCAGAAAAAAGGTCTATGTTGAAATTTTACATCCTTCCATGATAAAATCCCTGAAGAAACCAGGGATTTTATCATGGAAGAATAGACACCAACATGATAAAGGCTGCATATGACAAACCTAAGCCTAACTTTATACTAGGTGAGAAATAACTAGAAGTACTGCCTCCTCCAAAATCAAGAGCTAACTCTTATTCAAGGCACTTGTACAAATTGAACAGAAAGAAGTTGATGGTCCCCATTTGCAGATGATCTGATCGTAAACGAAAAGACCTTAAAGACTACCAGTGAGCTCTTACATTTGATAACTTTCAGCAAAGTAGCAGTAGTAGACAAACCCATCAGCTTTTCTATAAGCCAATAACAAACTTGCTGAGAAACAAATCTGGAGCATCTCATTAATGACTGCATCAAAAAAATCCCTGGGAACATACCTAACGAAGGAGGCAAGAGGCCTCTACAATGAGAACTTGTAAATAGTGAGGCAGAAACCAGAAGAAAAAGCCTCCTATGAAAATGGCTGTCACTAAACTCAGTCTAATGAGTCCATACAAATTCTTTCAAATTCCTTGGGCTGGAGAGATGGCTCAGAGGTTAAGAGCACTGACTGCCCTTCCAGAGGTCCTGAGTTCAATTCCCAGCAACCACATGGTGGCTCACAACCATCCGTTATGAGACCTGGTGCCCTCTTCTGGTGTGCAGATATACATGGAAGCAGAATGTCGTGTACATAATAAATAAAATCTTAAAAAAACAAACAAATTCTATCAAATTCCAATGATGTTTTTTTTCACAGAACTAAGGAAAAAAACCCTGAAATTTACATAGAAGCACAAAAGACTGATTAGCCAAAGAAGACTTAGCAAAAGGAGCAATTAGGTCCAACCAAAATACACCATATCTGGTGCAGGTTCCTGACTCTAAGAGTTGGAAATATGCTAAGCTTTGGCACCAGGAGATCATTATTATGTGGTTCCAGCAAATTACAGTGAGAGGATTTTAAATAATATGTGTGTAAATATGAAATCCATTTTCATGGTACTGGTGAGATAGCCCAGTGGCTAAAGGTGCTGTGGTGGTTTGAAAGAAAATGACCCCCCCAAAGGGAGTGGCACTACCAAGAAGTGTGGCCCTGTTGGAGTAGGTGTGGTCTTGTTGGTGGAAGTGTGTCACTGTGGAGGTAGGCTTTGAGGTCTCGTATATGCTCAAAATACTTCCCAGTTTCTCAGGCCACTTCCTGTTGCCTGCAAGATGTAGGACCCTCAGCTACTTCTCCAGCACATTTTTCTGCATGGTGCTATGTCCCACCATAATGACAATAGACTGAACTTTTGAAATTGTAAGCTAGCTACCCCAATTACATGCTTTCCTTTATAAGAGTTGCTGCCATGGTCCAAGTCTTATCCATTGCACTCCGGATATGCTGACCCTTGGGAAATCCCCAAATTCTGGAAACTTGACTGCATAATTTGGGTAGTGAGGGACTGCATTCATACTTTCCCCAAATTAAAAAAAAATAAAAAAATTTTAAAAAATTAAAAAAAAAAACATAGTCATGGTGTCTCTTCACAACAATAGAAACTCCAAGACAGGTGCCTGCCTCCATGCCTCATGGCCTGAGTTTGATCTCTGGCACCCCCTTGGTGGAAGGAGAAGTGACTCACTCATGTTGGTCTCAGGTGCCACAAAAGAAATCAATTTTTTTAAAAAAATTATTTATTTATTTATTTACTTATTTATTTATTTATTATGTATACAGTGTCCTGCCTGCATACCAGAAGAGGGCACCAGATCTCATTAAAGATGGTTGTGAGCCACCGTGTGGTTTCTGGGAATTGAGCTCAGGATCTCTGGAAGAGCAGCCAGTGCTCTTAACCTCTGAGCTATCTCTCCAGCCACACAAATTCCTTGTATCCAAGAAAGCATAAAGATACAGAGAAAGCCAACTTCAGTAGGTGTAATGAGCTCAGATTTTCAGAGTGTGAAGGATGCAGAAGACTTCAAAAGAGGCAGAAAGGACAAAGAAGGAAGGCCTCTTTCCTCTTACCTGGACCAGCATCCACCATCATGCCTACCCATTCCTCGGTGGTCAGGCTGTAGATACCTTTCTCCTTGTCTACCATCCATGAAGTGGGAGGTTTGGAGAACACTGCACAGCAGAAAGGTTCCACTTTGATCACACAGAGATAACCATGCAATTTCCCCTCTCGAAACACATCTATGATTCTGATCTTGTGAGACACCTTTTCTTCAGATGAAGAAAAATGGAAAACTGGCAGCTGGGATATTGCTTCCTTTGCCAATGTTTCCAAAGTGTTTCGGTCAACATTTTCTTTTGGGCATCCCTGGACCTTGCTCTTATCATCCACTCCAATGAAAAGGTAGCCTCCACAGGTGTTTGCAAACGCACAGACATACTCTGGAATTACACTTCTTATATAGTCTGGAGCACGTCTTGTAGAGAATTGTTTAAACTCTATAGATGTAGATTCAGGGAAAGGCAAGCTTTGACCATATTCAAGTTTCTCACTTTGGAAAATTTCAAAAGCAGGATTTGATTCAAGGCAATTCTGATGCATAGTTCTGGGAATTTTAAAAGGGGAAGCTCCTTCATCAGACAGACTACACTTGGCTTTCTTCTTATTCTTTAGAAATATGAATGCCTCTGTTGAATTCATGGTAACCACAGATGTTCCTGACCTACGGCACAAGGAAGAATTTTGGCTGCAAATGCGAGGCTTAGCAGAACTGTCTTCAGGGCTGCAGCTCCAAGATTTAATAAAAATGTAAAACTGGTTCCCTCGTTGCTGGGTCTCAAAGAAAGCCTGAAGATCAGAAGACTGGATAAGCTCTCTCAAGGACTCTTCCAAATCCAGTCCCATCTCCACAGGACGATCACTGTTATTGGCCATTTGTATCTCAAGCACTCCTCCTCCGGAGTTTAACAGAGCACAGGCAACCATTGCAATTCTTGTCTTCTCCACTTTTCTCTTTGTTGAGTTCATTTTCTTTCGGTTTTCTTCCCCAAGAGTCACTTCTTTTACATGGATGACCAAGTCTGGGTGAGACTGTGATACCACTAAGGAGGGATTTGTCTCCATGTTGGTCCTACAGTCAAACAATCCAAACACTTGTTTTACCTTTATTAAGATTAATTTTCTCATGCCCACAATTCATTCATCTACTTACTGAAAAATTTAGTCTAAGTGAAATAGATCCTATCAAAGCAATAAAATACCAAGTAAAGATAGAAATAGTCCTTTCTCTTAGAAATTGTTTTGAGGGGAAATGAAAGTAGAACTTACCATCACATGTGATATAGGCTATGGGAGGAAAAACACATTAAAGAGGTGTCTGAACCAATTTAGCTATTAAACTGTCGTTTACTAATGCTCCCAGGAGGAGACAATGTCACTTATTCGCTGGAATTGTTAGGGTGAAGTCATCAGCATTGAGGTACAGAAGCAGGAGGGATCAACTAATGCAAGGGTGTGCCGTGGCATAAGATTTCACAGCTTGGAACACATTCCTAGTGGATTGTGGGGTAAATAGAGAATATGCTAGTGAGAGATGTCAAAAAGATCATGAAAACACAGAGAGGTAGGAGAAAAACAAAAGGAATATGGTATCAGGTAATAGGGCACGAGGCCACCTGCTGTGATTTTTCAGGTATGCAAGCTGCTGACTGGTGCTGCAAGTTGAGATTGGAAAGTCTTATTGTATGATTTTGTGAAATGCCAGGAGGTGGTGGTGCAGGCCACCTGGTCTACAGAGTGAGTTCCAGGACAGCCAGGGCTGCACAGAGAAACCCTGTCTCAAAAACTCCACCCCCAAAAGGATTCAATAAATGACACAACTGTGACTTTGAAGAGATGCAGAAGCTGAGGTCTTAGGGACAAGTGCCAACAGATGTGGCTTGGTTCCCAATTCTATCGCATACTGTTGCAAAATATTCCTTTACACTGTGTGAAGATGTGCCACCGCGATTGGATTAATAAAGAGCTGATTGGCCAATAGCTAGGCAGGAAGAGGTTATGTATTACTTCTGGGGACTGAGAGGACTCTGGGAAGAAGAAAGGCAGAGTTGTCAGCCAGATACAGAGGAAGCAGGACATGCCACCAGCCACAAGGCAAGATGTTGATTAATAGAAATGGGTTAACTTAAGTTATAAAAGCTAGTTAGAAACAACCCTAAGCCAAGACAGAGCATTCATAATTAATAAGAATCCTCCATGTCATTATTTGGGAGTTGACTGGTAGGACAGAGAAAGACTTGTTATAACATACTATTGTTATATTTGGCTGGATACTTAAAATGCCTAACCTTATGTCTTTGTTAACAGAGCAGGGGTCATCTATCTTAATATGACTCTTAGTATAAGGATTAATTACTTACCAAGCACTTAACACTGTGCTTTGGTTCACAAATGTCCAGTAAACAAAACTATACTAATTGTCATTATGTCACAATGGGTTAAATAATGAATACCAGGCACAGTAATAGTGTTGTCAAGTGTAGACAACCAGCCATTAAATAAACTTACTAAAAAAGAGAGGTACAGAAATGTACATGGAGGAAGAGAAATTGAAGATTGTTTTTCTTTAAAATGGGAAAGGCTTAACAATATTTATCATAGATGAGAGAAAGCCGGTAGGGAAGTGAGATCTTAAAGATGGAGGGGGAGACTGAGTGACTAAAACAATAGAGTCTTGAGAGTCAAGGTTTGGAAAAGATTGTGGTTCAGAATCTGGAAGAAGGCAAAGAGGAAAAAAGCACTGTTGGCAGTGAGGTTAGGTTTATAGCTATGGGGGAGGCAAGAGGGAGAGTCTTCTAATGCCTTCCCTTTTCCTCTTCAGCTAGAAAACAAAGCTTTTGCCAAAACAGTAAGAGGAGAAATGTAGTGCTATAGAGTGGAAATAGTTTGAAGAAATATCACAGCCACATGGGGAGCGAAGGATGTGCGCACAAAGAAAGATACTACAGAGAAAACAAGTAAGCCATGTGCCTTTGTTACTTCTCTGCCGCTGGGATAAAATGCCCTGACAAAGGCAACTTAAGGAAGGCAGGGTTGGTTTGGCTCACAGTGAGAAGTACTGATCAAGGCAGTCAAGGCAGCTGGAGTTTACACAGCTCAGTCACAGTGTAACCTCCCACCATCAGGAAGAGGGAGCAAGGATTGACGGTGCTCAGCTAGCCGGCTCTTTTTTTTTAATTCAGCCTAGACACCACAGCCTGGAAATGGTGCCAGCCTCCTTTAGCATGGGTCTTCTCAATTAACTCAGCCATAATCACTGGAAGATATGCCTACAGATTACATAATCCCTCAGGTTTGTGCCTGGGGACCTTTCTTTTAGGTGATTCCATATCCCATCAAATTGACATTGGACACTGCTATACCATGTTTTTGTGCATCCAAAACACATAAATTTACAAAACATAATAATGACTTGGAAAAGCAGTTCTATGGCAGGGCATGCAAATTATGATAGTATTTACATAAAAACTTAAAGACAAAGGGGTTGAAGAGATGGCTCAATGCATATGAGTGTTTGGCTTGTATGTATGTCTGTGCACCACCTGCCTAGTGTCTGTGGAGGTCAGAAAAAGGCATTGGATCCCTGGGACCAGAGTTATGGACAGTTGTTCACTGCCATGTAGGTTCTGGGAATCGAACCTGGGTCTACTTCGGAAACAAGAAGTGTTCTTAAGTGCTGAGCCATCTCTTCAGCTCCATATAGCAGAGTTTTTGGGAAGTAAAATGTTAAAAATGTCATATGTCACAGAATAAAGCTATACTACAGTTTGTTAGGCAGAATGCCTCCCAGTAGGAAATAGTACCGTTCCATGAGAACTGGAGAAAGATGATCTTTGTCTCCCTCACACCTCTGTAGAAACTGTTGATGAAAGATTAGGCCCTGGATGGATGTCTGTGGAGAGTAAGGATGGGGCACACAAAACTCCAGATGGGCTGGATCAATACACTTCGAAAAACAAATTGGGAACTTGGCTACGTTGGGGCAGAACCAGAACAGAAAGAAATAGAGCCATAGAACAAATGACATTTGAGAAACTGCAATCATAAGGTCCTTGGCTCTTTTCCAATAGCTTCTAGATGACAAACTCTGAGTTAGTTCGTAACAGTTCTACTTCTGTCCCTGAGTTAAGGACAGTATCTTACAGGGGTTGCTCAGTCCCATCTGCAGAATCTCTTTCAACATTGTAATTCCAAAAACTGCAACTGGGGGCCTGAGGCACTTGCACTAACTTGCACCTGCTAACTGTGACAGGCTCTGCCAGCACAGAAACCTGCTGTGGAGTACGGCACCTCCTGTGCCCTCACGTACATACGTTCGTGTACATACGTTTGAGCCAGTATGCGCGATTGCGTGAATGGGTGTGTGGGTATGGTCCCGCCCCCCCGCCCCCGTCGC